GGGGGGGTTTCCAGGCCTGTATGGATTCTCTGTGCTCCTTTCCCCCAAAGGGTCACCAAACATTGGGACACTTTGAAAGGGCAGTGCTGGGTAGGACCATCCTGATCATCAGTGGTACAGGCCTGGGACACACTCCTTCAACTCCTGCTACGGGGATCTTGTGAAGGTTTGTGTCTGAGTTTATTTAAGTCCTCGGGTCGGAACAGTATCCAGAACACCTTCATTCACCTAGTCATGCAGCCCTATCAATTCCGATGGGAAAAATTCCCTTACTCCGGTGTCCCCCATCTCCCCAAAACCAACTAGCTTCCGTCTTCCAGTTAACACTGAACTCCAAAAGGGTAAAATGACTTTGGTGGTGGGTAGTCTCCTAGTTTCCTGAGAGTTCGTGTCACTTAAATGTTAAAAAGTATACAAAAATTGATGGGATGTGATCTTAAGAACCCCTTGCTAAGAAAACGGTGCGTGGACCCTTGTTCACCGACTGTGGCGGCAGAATGCCACAACCTATCTGGCTGCCTGCTGGGTGAGTCTAGATGCATTGCCAAGTGGTTTTCTCCTCCATTCTCCTACCAAGTCCTTTTGGGAAGATGTGCAATGGTTAGAACAATTAAGCCAAAACTATACATCTAGAAACTAACGTGTACTTCAAGCAAAAAATGTCCATTGTCAGTCACACCAGGATGACTGATGCCTTCTCTAGTAGCCCGTGTAACTAGTTAAGTACATGTACACAAATCAAAGCCTCTGGTAAAAACACAAGTCTCGACATGCAAGCAGGCCACATAAGAGGCCAGCCTTCCTTGCTGGCCATGGAGGCATTGAAAGCCAGCTGGGTGGCTGACTCCACTTGAAAACACATGCAGAAGCTGCACCCTCCTTCACAATGCAGCCGCTCCTGAACACGCTTGACCATGTGCACTGTGGTTGGCTTTCCTGTGATTGGCTCCCAAAGCAGGAGGGGGCTAAGGCTGGGAGGCTTTGACTGGTTTCCCGTGGAAACACGGAGCACCTGCCATGAGTTAACTCTTCTGCTTGTACTCTGGATCCTGACCAAAACACGATTTAGGGTTAACAGCACAAATATGAGTGCCACGAATTTAATGGAAAGCCAGGATTAAAACATAGTGGAAGTTTCATGCCGTTTTGTGGACCTGACGGGTGGTCTGCTGACTGGCCTGGAAACCTGTTGGACCATGCACATAGATGTAACTCATCCACTTGAGCGCGTCTTCATGCTGCGGCTCACCTGTGAGGTCTCAAGCGGGTGGGTTCTAGTACTTCAGTTACTATAGTATTAATAGAGAAAGGGCCCTCTCCCCCTCCTAAGGCCTTTTAACACCTCCCTGTATTTGAAATACCAGAGCGCTATTTGAAAACGGGTCTTCAGCATCCTGATACAACAGTGAAAGCGGCATCACTGCGCCCCCTTCTGGCCGTATGGTGGTGGCAGGAGTCCTCACTAGCCAGGCACTCCATAAGGCCTTACTACATACAGCCACTCCTCATGTACCAGACATTCTCTGAAAGCAACCAGGGTTTTCCAATCATATGAATACACATGTTCACATGAAAGCCAGCAGGAACAGGGCAGACACTGTGGGGGACTCATCATAGGCACATCTGCTTTCTACAGATGAGGGCTTCACAGTGTGTGCATATGCAACCCTTCTTTGTCCTTTCAAGCTCATTTCCCCACCACCTTTCTGAAGGCCTCTTGCATGGGGTTTATCTTCTTTGACTCTGAGACTTGAACCATTTGAAACCTCGAGAAACACGGGCCACAGGTGAGGCCAACGTTGGCGCCACTGACCACAAACCTTGGACCACAGCCATAAGATCACCACCGAAACCAATTGTCTTATGTATTTTATTGATCACTGAAGAAAAAACACAGCGGCGGGTTCTGTGTTGGCTTCAATAAGACCAGAGAGTTCATCTTTAACACAGCTACTACACCCCAAAATTGAAGTCAACACAGTCGTTACTACAAATTACTGGTTCAAAGAATCTATCCTGAAGAGAAAGAAAATTAGGAAAAAGAATTTAAACAATTCCTCCAAACCACACATTTATAAATATTGTCATATTTAAAATGCTTCAAAGGCATGAATTCTCCATTAATGGAAAAGCAGTTTGCTATTGGCAACAGGAAAAAAAAAAACCCTCAATAACAGTTTACCATATGCTTTAAAATTTAAAAGCGATAGTTTGGGATTCACACTTTCGCAGTATTTATCATTACAATTTTTTCTGAAAATTGCTTTATACTCACCTTCACTCACTTAAAATCTATAGAAAGCCCCACTGTTATCCAGGTGTTGTAATGTCTACTGCACTTAAGTGAATCTAAAAAAAATTGTAAGTTTTTTTAAATTTAGTGAATAGTAAATACCTCAAAATACCTAAAAGAGGTATTTCAACAGCTAATGGTGTGAAAACCGATCACTCCACCACTTTGGAGAGTCTTCAAATACATTTGTGTATTAACAGAACCTTACCTCATTCCAAATTAATATTAGGTTATTTCAGAAGAAAAAAAAGAGCAGTTCTATACACCAAGATATAGGTGTTACTCAATACCTGAAGAGTTCACATTTTCGATTTTATTTTTTAGTTTTTCTGTTTTGTAAACAAATGATTGGTGAAATAATGCAACACCTTGAATTTCAGAAAATGGCATGGTTTTCCAACCTTCTGTGGGTACTGTGCATGATCGATCTATTATATAGGATTAATACAAGTTCATGCTTTTCGTGTTATGGTGAAACATTAGTTATAGAATCCAATTTAGACGGGCTGAAGCACGGGTATAGAATCCTTGAATGTGATCAAACCTATGTGAGACACTCGTCTGACTCCAGCATTTTCAGACTTAGCGTCGGACTGTGGTCCATCCGTCTTCATCAGTCTCATTCTTAGTACGACGAAGAGAGTCCTTCTCTTTCTCGGCCTTCCATGCGGCCTTCTCTTTGTCACCCTCTCTCTCTCTGTCACGTTCTCGATCTCTGGAGAGAGCTGGGGGAGGAACACGACGAGGGGTGTCTCGCTCTTCGGCCCGGTCCTCTTTCCTGTCATCAGCGCGCCTCCAGGAGCTTCCTAAAGTTATTTTAAAAAACAAAACACATTTGTACTGTTTTCTACTGGCTCAGACTACACAGACGGAAATTAAGCTCAACCACTGAAGAAAGTCCAGTGAATGGAAGAAAAAATTTAAATGAAAAGGCTTTTGGCTCTTATTAAATAAATTTTAAGCCAATTAGCCATAAAATGTGGATGTTTATAATTACAGCTATCAAAAGAAGTAACGTTACAATCGTAAAAGAAACATTGTTATGATCCAACTGAGACTGTGGGCAAGGTGCTGACCAGCCTTTGCCCTTATAAAGATTTTAGTCATGAAAATCCCATGAGATCAAGTAGAGATGCCTCAGAGGGTTCCTTGGGTTATAGTCTTTCTAGGACCAGATCACCAGGACTGTCTCATGAAATTGAGTTCAAATCACCAAGCTTTTGGATTAGGAGCAAAGTACAGTGATACCTTAGTTGTAGAATTCAATTGGTTCCAAATTTACATATTTTTCCCAGAAGAAACCATTGAAAACCAAAAAATCAATTCCCAGGCCCCACTTCTAAATTCACTTTTCCAGAACTCTAAAGCACTACGGAGACTTTCAGATTTCTCGTATATCCCTGCCTCAAATACGCTATTGCCATCGGGTTATTTCGGATTTACCCAAATTCACAACAACTTGTCAGCCTCGTTGACGGTCTGGATTCTTTGTTTCATGGTTAAGGATGTCACACCTTTTGCTCCATTAGCTGCTTTTATCACACACACCCCTCCACCACCCCACAAAAAAAGTGCTGATAATGTTGACTTAGCCATGTTGTGTTCAGCCGCCAGGTCAGACAAGGGACGGCATGAATCCAATTTAGCAAATGGTCCCTTCCGTTAACTCCATTTTAGTTCTCAGTTTTCCTTAGTCTTACTGCTGGTATACTAACTCTTCTGGAGATATGGTCACACTATCTTATGAAAATAAAGTGTCACACAAACACAATGATGAATGTGTTAGCACACTACCATTATCCGGAGTCTGAGCGGACTGAAGGTCAGTCACCCCTTTTGTGTCTAAGGAGAAACGTGCCTGTGACTCACGCTCAGGCGTACGTACAGGTTTTCAAGCTGGACTTTCAGTTCGACTATCGAACACTGTACAGACCAGGCGCAAGCCAGTCAATAACTGAGAGATCCTGCACTCTAATGGCGAGATGCGCTTGTTTCACAGCTTAACCATCGAGTAGTCGTAGGGACCCAGGAGAAGTTAATTCTGAATTGAATAAATCTCTAAAGTGCTACTTGTGGCATATATAATATAAATAAAATTTACCGGATAATTTACAAACAGCCAACACTGGGCCCATGATCTGTGTGTGGCCGGCCTCCCTACCTTCTTCGCGATCTGATCTGAGGGGAGGGCCCCTCCGCTCTCTGTCATCCCGCCGATCTCGCAGGTCCCTGAGATCACGGCGATCATCTCTCTCGAGCCGGCGGCGGTCATCCCTGTCCCAATCATCCCGGCGGCTTGAATCTCGCCAGCTGGAAGATTCCTCAGCGGGTCCTTTTCTCCAGCCACCCTCATCCCTGTGGCCATTGAAAATGACAGGGCAAGTTCTATGGTTAGACTACGTGTGGACTCAGTTGAGTATGTTATATATATATATAACCAAACTGGTGCTTAGAATCAACAATGTGCACTTGTGAAGAACTGGAATAAGCACATGTCCTCCGGCGCGCTGCTCCCACCCCCGAGTGTTCCAAAGTGAAAGTGATTACTATCACGGTGGGCAGTGCAGAGGCAAACATGCTCATCTGCACAGAAAGATATGTGAGATGGTGCTACTCTAAATCGATCACCATGCACTCTTGTGGTCACAGGGAGCAGGCTAGAACGTCTGCTGCTGAAACGGCTGGTGAAACCTAAAGGATAAAGCGACAGACAGGGGGAGAGACCGGTTGGCTCTCTCTTCAGTTTCATGCAGCCTGCAGAACTCCAGGGCCTAAACAAACCTCACTTCTCACTTTGTGTAGAAAGAAGATCCAATTGGATGGTTTCAAATATTCTCAGAAAAAATTACTTTGGACACGCTGTTCCTAACAGAAGAATGGAGTCAAAGCATGGCTTCTCAAGTGCCCTTGGGAAAGCTCAGCATTCATGGCAACCCCCCGGGCGTAACCCAACCACCGCTCAAGTGCCAGACCTTGGTCGTCGGAAGCGGTCCTCTCGCTCCCCGTCTCGCTCTGGATCCTTGTCGTTCTCCTCTCGCTCTTGAGTTTCTCTGTCCCTGTCTTTCTCTCTGTCCCATTCAGAGTCCTCCGAGGGTCTCGACTCCTGGCGTGGACCCCAGCTGTTTTCTCGGGCTTTTTCTCTGTCTCGCCATCCACCTACATTGTAAAAAGCAACACAACGGTCTTTGTCCACTAAGCACACACAGGCTGGCCCTCAATGCTGACTTCACTCCCTCAGCATCCTGAAGGTTAATGCCACTGCTCCGGGTTTGCTTCACTCTACAGAATCACAGTTCACTCCTCCCTCAGTACGTTTGCTTCCTCAAACTTAAAAAGAGGTCTGGGTTGTGTGCTCTACTGACAAGGCAGAGATTTCGGATCATGGGCAGGGTGGTGGACAGTCACACACACTCAATGCAGCCACCGTGTTGGAAGGCCTGCTTCCGCTGCGTCATCTGCCTCCGCTTTGAAATGACTGAACAGGGGATTCGGCATCCCATGCTACATGTGCAGCTCCAACATCAGAGGACTCGAGCCGCTTCCTGCACGAAGGTCAGGCGAAGCAAGAACCTCACACCCCTGTTCTGAGGGACCCGGGCTACTCAGGACCACACCTGGCTCAGCACCGGGGCCAGCCTGGCACACTGCACTAGCACAAGAGTAAGTGTGAAAAGACGAGCAGACCTGGAGCTGAGAAAGACACTGATTCTGAGTACTCCCCTCACTGCCCACCAGGGCTCTATGAAGAGTGGATGCTGTGTGTGGTGACTTTTCTTGACCAGAAAACCCTTCAGCACATGCACGCTGAAGGTTCAGGCAGCGGGAATGCCCAGGGCACAACTCGGTCCT